CCGGAGTGTGCCCCAGGACCTTTGCTTGGGCCCTTTCTTTCCTCAGGGAAGCCCTAGAATCTGGGCTAGAGTCTCGCACCCTCAGAGCTTTTTGTCCTTCCGGCCAAGACTTAGCATGCCAGTTGGTGATATCTCCAGGACTGCAGTGGCCCTCAGTGAAAGCCCATAGGAATAACAAGGGCCAACCACACTGGTGCCCAGCAGCGTGCAGCCCTATCTATCCCAGAAGTCACATGCCTGGTCCTCTGTAAACTGCCACTGCTGAGCTGGGGACAGGCAGGGCCTAGAGAGGGAGCATGGTTAAGGGTCACACCAAGCCCTCGTAAGTGAGCCAAGTCCAGCCAGGCCCTTGCAGCTCCCTCACCTGTGCCACCTGCCTCTGCTCCCAGGTAGGCAGTAACCTGCCACAGGTGCCAGGCACCCCAGGGCAGCCAGCCCTGGGAAAATGGACCATCACTGCAGTGGGTGGCATGTGTGTCCCAGAGCACATGTAACACGCCTGTGACCTTGGCTCTGGCTCCATAAATACCTGTGGTCTGGAGGGAGGGCCACCCAGAGGCAGATACACACCATGGGGCGCTTGGAGTTGGTTGTCTTGGGCCTCACCTGCTGCTTGGCAGCCGTGAGTGCAGCAAAGGTAAGCAAGAGCCTAGCAGAGGGAGCAGGAGCCCCTCTCTCTCCCGCAGAACCAGAGCTGGTCACTGTGTAGCTGGGGCCTAGAGGCGGGGGGACACAGACAGAGCCACTGGCCTGAGCAAGAGAACCCAGCACCAAACCCGCCACAACTCTGTGCAGCCCTGGGCTCTGCTCACTCTCATCCATGGCAGCCAGATTAAAACACAGGGTGCACAATTAAATTGAGTTTCAGTTAAACTACCAGTTTTTGGTATAAGTATGCCCTTATATTTAAAACAATATGTTTTAATACAACATATTGTATGCCCAATATTTAAAACATACTAAAACCCAAGTCATCTGAAATCCAAATGAGGCAGGTTGGGTGGAGCCTGTGACTCAGTGATTAGGGCGCCTGCCCCATATGCCAAGGGTGGCGGGGTTGAACCCGGTCCTGGCCCAGCTGCAACAAAAAAATAACCGGGCGTTGTGGCAGGCGCCTGTAGTCCCAACTACTCAGGAGGCTGAGGCAAGAGAATCGCCTAAGCCCAAGAGCTGGAGGTTGCTGTGAGCTGTGATGCCACGACACTTTACCCCTGGCCAGAGAGACAGCAGGTTGGAGAACAGCATGGTGAGGGCTGGGGGCCCCTGTGCGAGTCCCACTTGCTGTGTGCTGCGTCCCTCACCGCGGAAGGGCAGATTTGACAGATGCCCCATGGAGCCTGTGTAGCCTCCTGACTCTCACCCTGGAGGGGAGGCAGGTGCACTATAGGTGGGGTTAACTCCCTCTGGGGGTGGTGGGGGATGGGAAACACAGGTCTCACAAAGTGAGATTCTGTCTCTTAAGAAAAAACAAAAAAACAAATAAGACAGAGCCTCTTGGATTTTTATTTGCTAAGCTGGTGGTTCTACCGGTAGCTTATAGCCCTCTCTGTCCCCTAAATCACGTGCTCAGGCTCCAGTGAACTCCCTCTGCTAAACACCCCCTGGTGTCCATGTCCCCATTTTATAGAAGGGGAAAATGGGCCCAGCACAGACCAGCATCACACGCCCACCCTTTCCCTTCCTGAGCAGAAACCTGAGACCTGGACTACTACACACCAGGGCAGGGCTCCCAAACGACCTGTGTTTCCGTCCTCCACCACCCCCAGAGGGAGTTAACCCCACCTACTATGCACCTGCCTCCCCTCCAGGGTGAGAGTCAGGAGGCTACACAGGCTCCATGGGGCATCTGTCAAATCTGCCCTTCTGTGGTGAGGGACGCAGCACACAGTGCCCAGTGGGACTCTCAGAGGGGCCCCCAGCCCTCACCATGCTGTTCTCCAACCTGCTGTCTCTCTGGCCGGGGGCCCCCTCTGCCCAGCCAGGCTCTGGTCTTGCCACTTGGCCATTGAACCTGGGCTCCTTCTGCCACCCAGGGGAGGTCACTCTCCTCAGACGAGTTCTTTCTGGGGTGCTGCCCATCTTGATCACACAGAGACACTTATGGGTGACTTACCGGTCCTCCAAAGGCTGACCTGGCCCTCTGCCCCTTTGGAGGATGGGAGACTGGATCAAAGAGGCTCAGATGCCCTGCAGATGCTGCCTGAGGCACCTTCCCAGTTACTTCTGGCTCCTCTACTCTCCTACCCCACTCTCCTACCCTCCTAGGAACACAGGGACTTGGGCTCTGTATGGGGACAAAGGGAAGGAGAAAGGAAGAAGGCCACTCAGGTGGGTGTGGTGTACCCAGGACACACTGGGCGGCCACTACCGCCAGCAGTCGGACAGTCCTCCCATCCCATGCCAATAGACCACGAAGGAGACACTGTTGTCATATACCTTACAGGCAGGGAAACTGAGTCTCAATGTCACAGACAGCCGTAGCCAGCACCCAAACCTCCATCCCCTTCCAGAAGGACTCCTGGGTGGTAACATTAGCAATTGAACCATTCCCTCTGAGATTCGGGGGACAGACACCCCTGGGAGTTGGGTGGGGCTAGTAAGCAGCTCCTCAAGCCTGTGGGCTAGTGGCAGGGGGGTCCTGCCTTGGTCCCAGGGGCAGATTTGTCCCCTTTGAAGTCTGTTCAGGCCACCCCTCTGGATTCAGGTTGACAGGCCTGAGTCCACCCTGCCCTTCTCTCTCCCAGCTAGGCGCCGTGTACACAGAAGGGGGTTTCGTGGAAGGCGTTAACAAGAAGCTCGGCCTCTTGGGTGACTCCGTGGATATCTTCAGGGGAATCCCCTTTGCTGCCCCCACCAAGGCCCTGGAGAACCCCCAGCGACACCCTGGATGGCAAGGTGGGTGCGGTGGGTGCTGGGCCTGCCCTGAGCTGGAGGTGGTGTGAGGGTCTTCACTCCAGTCCTTCTTGACACCCGCTGCAGGGACCCTGAAGGCCAAGGAATTCAAGAAGCGATGCCTGCAGGCCACTATCACCCAGGATGACACTTACGGGGATGAAGATTGCCTCTACCTCAACATCTGGGTTCCCCAGGGCAGGAAGCAAGGTCTGTCGCCCCTTCTTCTCAGGAGAACCGAACCCTGCTCCTGGCTTGTGTCTGAGGCCAGCAAAGCTGAACTTGCCAGAAACCCTGCAGAGGCGGGAGGGGCCCCAGCCCAGCAGCGCCCCACGTGCCGCCCCACGAGCCATGGTCCCAGCAGGTGGGGGGCTCAGGCTGCTCCCAAGAGGGCCAGGTGTCAGGGGTCACTGACTGCTCCCCCATCTCAGTCTCCCAGGGCCTGCCCGTTATGGTCTGGATCTATGGTGGGGCTTTCCTCATGGGGGCCGGCCATGGGGCCAACTTCAGGAAGAACTACCTGTACGATGGGGAGGAGATTGCCACACGCGGCAACGTCATCGTGGTCACCTTCAACTATCGTGTTGGCCCTCTCGGCTTCCTCAGCACTGGGGATGCCAACCTGCCAGGTATGTGGCGCCTGGGCACTGAGAGTGGGACAGCAAGCTTCTAGACCCTGAGAGCGCTGAGCCCACCTGGGGGATGCTCCTTGGCCCCTGGAGCCCAAACAACACCCCATAGTCCCACAGAAAGGTCAGGAGGCTGGAGTTGAGACCTGAGACACAGGAGCCCCTTGGCAGCTGTAGTGAAATCAAAGAGGCTGTGGGACAGACACTGGACAAACAGAGGCTCAGAGAGAGGCCAGGAGGGCAGGGCCCAATGACAGACAGAAAATGACATACTGAGGCAGACGCTGCAGGGCACAGGGGACAGGAGATTCTGCAGCAGGGAGGGGACACTAGGGGGCCTGGCCTCCCACTACCCTGCCCTGCCCCAACCCCTACCCCACCCTAGCCCCCTGGAGGGCCTGCCATTCACCATCATGGGCTCTACTGGGCTGTCCACTCTGTTGAGGACCTTTCCATCCCTCCCTCATGGACTTGGGCCCACTGAGCACAAGCCCCAAGCCAGTAGTCTCTAGCACCCTCCAGCCCTCTCCCATGAAAGTCCTGAAGGAAGGTCCATCTCCCTGCCCCCAGGTAACTATGGCCTTCGGGATCAGCACATGGCCATCGCTTGGGTGAAGAGGAACATTGCAGCCTTTGGGGGTGACCCCAACAGCATCACTATCTTTGGGGAATCGGCTGGAGGTGCTAGCGTCTCTCTGCAGGTCTGGGGACCCCTGGAAGGAAGGGGCTGCCCCAAGGGTTTGGAGGGAGATTATAGGGTGGGGTGGAGGGAAGGAGGAGGGTGGGGCTGTCAAGGGTGTCCTCAGCTGAACCCAGGGTGGGCTGCAGCCTTGGTGACAGGACTTCTGGGTGTTGCAGACCCTATCCCCATACAACAAAGGCCTCATTCGGCGAGCCATCAGTCAGAGCGGTGTGGCGCTGAGCCCCTGGGTCATCCAGAAGAACCCACTCTTCTGGGCCAAAAAGGTAAGTGGAAGAGGACAGGGAGGGTGGGGGGACTCACTTTAGATGCCAGAGAGGGGGCCTTCCTTGTCCCCTTTCTCCACCCCAGACCCTTCCTTCTTGCCCCTCATTGTTCTGTGCCCTGCCTACCTGTACTCACTCCCAGATTGCTGAGAAGGTGGGCTGCCCCGTGGACAATACCACCAGGATGGCCAAGTGTCTGAAGGTTACTGACCCCCGAGCCCTGACGCTGGCCTATAAGATGCCCCTGGCAGGCATGGAGTGTGAGTAGGTGCTGCCGGGGCGGGGGGCTCATGGGGTCTCGAGGTGTGGGGAGGGCACTGTCACTCAGTTGCAGGCAACTCACTGCCCCCCCCTTGGGCCTCAGTGGATGCATCCGTAAGGGGGTCGTTCTTTCTTCTTATCTTCCCTGAGTCATGGACATCTGCCTTTGAGGAACTGCTGAGTGTGGAGCCACGCCCCCCATCAATGCACACACATGCAGTAAATGGCGCATAGTTTCTGGGAGAGTCACAGACCCCAGGCCAAGAGGGAGCCTGTGTGCTACACGGCTGCTCATATGCTCACTCAGCAAACACCAACTGAGCCTCTGCCCTTCCCGCCTGGCAGGCTGCAGTACTCTCTTGCTTGTTCTTAAGGTGACATGCAGGGAAGGCCCAACATCCGCCTCCTGACCTACCAGAAACTAACCTGTAAGAGCTAGGAGAGCCGACAGCCCACAGTACAGGCCAGGGGAAGAAAACTGGGCTGTGGCCTAATGAGAGCCGGGCTGTGCCCCCTGCGCCAGGCAGCTACCTGGGCCTGCGGGCCAGTCCACAGGACAGGAGGCAATGCAGGCCTCGCACAGTCTTTGGCCAGCAGACTAGAACCAGCCCGAGAGCACCTCCTTCTCCATCAGCTCCGTCACTTGCTTCTGGGTCTTCCTCCTGCCTGATTTCAGTCCAGCAAGAAAGGGAGAACAGAAAGGGGTGACACTGAAGCAAGAGGACAGACCTGGCCCCTAGACAGTGGCTCTCCACCTGGGGGCTTGTGGTAAAGTCTGGAGACACTGTTGATTGTCACAGACCGGGGAAGCACCCAGGCTGAGAAACACTGGTCTGGGTCAGAGAAGGGAGGACGTCTGCACCTGCAGTCCAGGAGGCCAAGGGGAAGGCCAGGTGGACACCGGGAGGTGCAAGAACCTTCTGGCTCTCCCCCCAGACCCCATGCTGCACTATCTGGGCTTTACCCCTGTCATCGATGGAGACTTCATCCCCGACGACCCTGTCAACCTGTACGCCAACACTGCAGACATCGACTACATTGCGGGCACCAACAACATGGATGGTCACATCTTTGCCAGCATTGACATGCCAGCCATCAACAAGGACAAAAAGGATGTCACAGAGTGAGCAGGGGGCGTAACACCCAGGGCAAATGTGTGGTGCAGGGCTGCTGGGAAGGACTGGGCCCGGAGGTGGAAGGCATCAACAGGGGATGGGGTTGAGGAAAGTCACACTGGCTGGGGAGGGTGTGTGGACATCCTCCCATTGGAATGGGGAGAGTGTCAGTGCCCACCTGGTCCCTATAGGGAGGACTTCTACAAGCTAGTCAGTGGGCTCACCATCACCAAAGGGCTCGCAGGTGCCAGGTCTACCTTTGATGTCTACACCAAGTCCTGGGCCCAGGACCCATCCCAGGAGAACAAGAAGAAGACTGTGGTGGACTTTGAGACTGATATCCTCTTCCTGGTGCCCACAGAGATTGCTCTGGCCCAGCACAGAGCCAATGCCAGGTGAGGGTCTGGGAAGGGGTGGCTCCCTGGGATACTTCAGTTTCCTGCTGTGGCCTCACTGTGGGCCGCTCATGCGTGGCTGGGTTGCCTGGGAAAGTGGTGCTCAAGTCCCCACCATGCCTGCACCACCCACTTTACTGAGGCCTGGCAAGACCGAGGAGATCCTCTCTTCACCTGCCACACTCCCATGATCCCCCACCCTGTCTGGCCCCTCAGCCTTAGTCGCCCTGGGTAGAGTGCCTTGGCATCACAGCTCAAAGCAACCTCCAACTCTTGAGCTTAAAAGCGATTCTCCTGTCTCTGCCTCCCAAGTAGCTGGGACTACAGGCACCTGCCACAACACCTGGCTAATTTTTGGCTAATTTCTTCCCACTGGGAAGTCTTGGGTCTACCTTCTACCTCTCATGCTGTGTAGATGGAGAGAAGACTGGGTGACAGTCTCTGTCCAGTGACTCTTTTGGGCCTCAACTTTGCCAACTTACAAAAATAATTTCGGCCATAACCCACATTAAAGACCTCCATATAATAATAGCCAATTAAAATTAAAAAAAAAAGCAGTTAGGAATGCTTAACAGATAGTGTTGTAGCTGCTGTGAGTGGAATTATAGAGAAACACCAGCACACTGAGTTCAAATTAGGCACCGATCCTTTATTGGGCTGGCCAGTCAAGAACAGGCTCACAACACAGTCTCTTAACCACCTGGAAGCAGGGGGGTAAGGCTTTTATATGGCACTTCAAGTCGGGAATGGGAAGCCCTAGTGTAGGCAGAATTTTACAGAAGCTAATATCTGCCAGGTTAGAGTTATGGGGAAGGGGCTTAGAGGATGGGCGGGGGGGGAACCTAAAAACTGCACACAGACCAGACAGACTTGTGACAGGATTGTGGTTTTCACAAGATTCTTTTCCCAGCTGTCACAAGATTCTGCAGCTCTCAGCTAAATTTCCTTCCTGTTTTTGCAGGGTTGCTGTTTGCTCAAGGGGCTATTTTGGCTACAAAAGGTGGGGGGTGGGCTGCAAGCTCTTAATAAAATGGAGTAAATCAGGTTCACTTGCTCAAAATGGGTGGAGTTAGGGCATCATAATAGGAAGTTAAAATTATACCTAGAAGTCTAGGATGAAAGTTTTTCAGCAACTAAATAATAAATTTAGCTTTGAGCTTCCTGTCAGTCAAGGTGAAAAGGGAAACAGGTGGCTTGGTGCCTGTGGCTCAAGCAGCTAAGGTGCCAGACACATAAACCTGAGCTGGCAGGTTCAAATCCAGTCTGGGCCCACCAAACAACAGTGATGGCTGCAACCAAAAATTCGCCAGGCGTTGTAGTGGGTGCTTGTAGTCCCAGGTACTTGGGAGACAGAGACAGGAGAATCGCTTTTAAGCTCAGGAGTTGGAGGTTGCTGTGAGCTGTGATGCCAAGGCACTCTACCCAGGGCAACAGCTTGAGGCTCTGTCTCAAAAAAATAAATAAAATAAAATAAAATAAAAAAGAAAAGGGAAACAGGTAAGGGCATATACTTTATCCAATCAAATGAAGAATCAAAATTCACTTGGAGAGAAAAGTACCTTCTTGATACTGAATTATAGGAGGAAGATACCTCAAAATGTTTCATAGAGGTGAGGTGCAAATACAATCAAAATCTTAGGTCCCACAAGTGCATACATTTGGTCCATGGCTTTCCCTTCCCCAGACCCTTTGCTGTTCCTCCCCACCCCCATGCCTCCCTGCAGGGTCCTCTCTGAGAGGGGCAGCCCCAGGTGAGCACCCTGCCTACTTGGTGGTCTCTCCCCACCCCTTCAGGAGTGCCAAGACCTACACCTACCTGTTTTCCCATCCCTCCCGGATGCCTGTCTACCCCAAGTGGGTGGGGGCGGACCATGCTGATGACATACAGTATGTCTTCGGGAAGCCCATGGCCACCCCCCTGGGCTACCGGAACCAAGACAGGACTGTCTCCAAGACCATGATCGCCTACTGGACCAACTTTGCCAGAACTGGGTAAGGCATGGGGTTGAGCCCAGGGCTGAGGGTTTTGTGCCACCAGGCCCTGAGGCCTGGGTTCTAGTCAATGTTCCCTCACTTGCCAGCTGGGAGACTCTGGACCTTCCTGAGTCTTGGGATCCCTGTCTGCCTATGAGGATGAGAGCTCTGGCCTGAGCCCCATCACAGTGAGAGGCTGTGAGGCCCCAGGTCAGCACAGAGGACGCAGAGCTGGACTAGGGGCACAGGTCTCTAGCCTCTTCTTACTCTGCAGGGACCCCAACATGGGCCACTCGGCCGTGCCCACCCACTGGGATGCCTACACCGTGGAGAAGGGCAGTTACCTGGAAATCACCAAGAAGATGGATGGCAGCTCCATGAAGCAGAACCTGAGAACAAGCTACCTGCGGTACTGGACCCTGGACTACCTGATGCTGCCCACAGTGACAGGCGATGGGGCTGCCCCTGCGCCTCCCTCTGGTGACTCCGAGGCTGCCCCCGTCCCCCCCTCAGGTGACTCCGAGGCTGCCCCCGTCCCCCCCTCAGGTGACTCCGAGGCTGCCCCCGCCCCGCCCTCGGGTGACTCCGAGGCTGCCCCCGCTCCCCCCTCAGGTGACTCTGATGGGGCTCAGATGCCCGTAGTTGTTGGCTTCTAGTGTCCTATGAACCTCAGCCCCAAGAGGCCACAGGGAGGGACCCCAGGGACCCTCCTCCCCTCCTGAGCTCTTGCTTAATAAAACCTCATCTCTCTGTCTGGTATTTTTCTTTGCTCCCAAGAGGGAGCTGGAGGCAGGAGGGGGCTCTCAGTCATCCTCATGGCACCAGGCACTGCTCCCAACATGTTACCCCATCACCTAGGTCAACCCCCAACCTCCAGGAGGCAGAAAGCACTATCCTCATTTGAGAGAGGGGGAAGCAGCTTCAGAGAAGTTCAGTGGCAGAGCCGGGACCCTGAAGTGACCTTTGCCCCGGGCTGCTGGCTGTCCCCAAATGGTGGGCAGGGCTGTGGAACCACAGTCAAGATAGACAGCTGCACGCTGGCAGGTGGTAGCCTCCTCTGAGCAGGGAACCCCGCCATGTGCAAGTCCTCTGGGGGCGAGGAGTGACGCTGCTGTTCCATATGGCTTGGGGAACCTGGGAAGGGAAACAGAGTCTGCTCCTCCAGCTGGACCCAAGTCTAAGAGAGGCTAACATGTCACACCTAAAGAATGGAGACAGATGACATCCCTGGAGCAGGGCACTGCCCAACAGCTCTGGCAGAGTCGATGTGGCCGGCGACAGAGGTCAGAGCCAGGGCCTGAGCCCAGGCAGGGCACCAGCTTGACCTCCCTGGGCTTGGGGGGGGCACTGTGAACACCCCCATTTTAGATATTTATGGATATTTATGGAAATGTGGGCCTGAGGGGTTCACACTCCCAAGGTCACCTAGAACAAGGATTCAAACCTCAGGTCTGCAACTCCAAAGCCCGTGCTCAGAAAAATACTGGGGGAACTACCTGCTCCTTACTCACCTTCCAAACAGTCCTGTGGATGTGGGGTAGGGCTCAGAGATGACAGAGAAGATTCTAGAATACCTGAGTAGCTGGTCTGTGTGGTGGGGACAGCAGCACCCAGCCAGTCTCTCTGCCCCTCCAGCTTCCAGAGATCTAAGGGTCAAGTGCTGGGGCCCACACAGCAAAGCTGAGCCGGGCCAGATACTGCCCACCAAGGAGGCAGTTGTAGAGGCTGAAAAGTCCAAGGTCCTGGGGTACATCTGGTGAGGGTCTTCTGGCTGGTGGGGACCCCCTACAGTGTCCCAAGGTGGTACAGGGCATCACATGGTGAGGGGGCCGAGTGTGACAGCTCAGGTCTCTCTTTCTCTCATAAAGTCACCAGTTCCCCTCCCAAGATAGCCCTGGGCTGCCATGGGCTTCCTGGTTTTGTCATAGGGTCTCAGGTGTGAAGAGGGGACTCCCTGTCAAAGACTGAGTGAGACAAAGCCTCCTTGCAACATGGGCCTCTCCTGGTGACTGTCCCTGTTCTCTTGGGATCTCAAGCATGCAATAATGTGTCCCTCCCTTCCTCGCTGCATTGGGACTCCAAAACTTACACAGGTTTCCCTCTGCGGGTCTGTTCTCAGGGCTGCCAGCATTGCGGGGAACCTGGGGCTCTTCCTCCCTGCCCTGGACCAGCCCTGGGAACTGACATTCTCTTTTACTCGGGGAACACACAGTCCCACCTACCTGCTATTCAAAGCTGCATCTCCGGAAGCTGGGTCACATCAGAGGGACAGGCTGTAGGTACCCAGAGTGTGCTCAGACCCCCAGAAGGTCTCTGCTACCGTTAGAATATCCCCCTGCCCTCTCCAGACTCTCACTGAACTTTATTTTTTTGAGACAGAGTTTCACTTTGTTGCCCACGGTAGAGTGCTGTGACATTATGGCTCACAGCAACTTCAAACTTGGACTTGGACTTAAGTAATTCTCTTGCCTCAGCCTGCTGAGTAGCTGGGACTACAGATGCCTGCCACAATGCCTGGCTATTTTTTTGAGACGGGGTCTCGCTCTTGCTCAGGCTTTTGCTGAACTTTAATTCCCAATGCAGCAGTGGGAACTATAGGAGGTGACTGGATGGTGAGGGCTGTGTCCTCGTAAATGGGTAAATCCACTCATGATTCATGGGTTAATGGATCAATAAGTTAATGGATTCAGTGGCTATCTTGGGAGGGGAACTGGTGGCTTTATGAGAGAAAGAAAGACCTGAGCTGTCACACTTGGCCCCCTCACCATGTGATGCCCTGTACCACCTTGGGACACTGTAGGGGGTCCCCACCAGCAAGAAGACCCTCACCAGATGTAGCCCTGGGACTTTTCAGGTCCCTACAACTATAAGAAATAAATTCCTTTTCTTTATAAATTACCCAGTTTTAGGTATTCTGTCATGGGCCACAGAAATGGACTAAAACAGCTCCCTGGCAGAGGTGAGCCCTGCTATGTGTCTGGGTGACACCTACAGTCTTCAGGACAGAGGGACATCTGTGGACCCGTCATCCTTCTGGCTCTTGCGTTTACAGACTGTATCCAGGTGTGACATCGCGAGAACTCATGGAGACACTGCAGATTGTTCAGGGCCCTGACGGCCAGGTGCTGACCCTAGAGCACTCCATCTGGGGAAGCCCAGGGCAATGGCTGTTCACCATCCAGCCAGGACACGTCTCAAACCTTGTTGGCAAAGCTGTGGGCTGTGTGCCTGTGGCCCAGAAGTCTCAGTGTCTTCCTACTCTGCCCCATGCTGTGTTTCTAACCCACAGCATGTCAGAACAAAGCCCAGGCTATGGACAGAGCGAACACAGTAGCCCCAGGGGCTGCAGGCTCTGCAGTGGTTCTCAACCTGTGGGTCCCGACATCTTTGTAACACCCTGCATATCTGATATTTACATTACAATTCATAACAGTAGCAAAATTACAGTTATGAAGTAGCAATGAAAATAATTTTATGGTTGGGGTTCACCACAATATGAGGAACTGTATTAAAGGGTCATGGCATTAGGAAGGTTGAGAACTACTGCCTAGGGGCTCCGGCCAAGTATCTTTCTAGGACCGGTTGGTACCAACATGCCCTGTAAATCGGTGATCTCCTGAGACAGTGGACCTCAGACCCACACAGCCCCAGACATCACTGTGGCTGTCAGCGGGGGTGGTCTTTTGGCATCCTATTCTGGCACTCCAGCATTCACCAGGATTCATGAGGCCCTAGCCAGGGTGAGTGACCACAACATGCCCAGCACAGGGATTGGGGCCTTTGGGGGCATTTCCTGGTGAAATCAGTCATACAAGAAGTGTCAGGGAGATGGAAATTCTGATTTATAGTAGCAGGGCTGCTTCTAAATGATCTACCCACAGCAGCCTAAAACATGACATCACAAATCTTTCCCTAGACACAGAGCAAGCAGGAAAAGGAAGTCTGGGTCAGGAGCAAGCATTCTAGGATCCAAGCTGAGGGAGAGGGTCCTGAAGAGACGGAGGCCGAGGTCCTGCCTCTCCACTGGCCAATAATCTTTCTCTGGCCTCTTCTTCTCCACACTGTACATTTCATCTGTTTATAATCTCCTTTATTTATTTATTTTTTTTATAGAGACAGAGTCTCACTTTATCACTCTTGGTAGAATGCTGTGGCATCACAGCTCACAGCAACCTCCAATTCCTGGGCTTAGGCGATTCTCTTGCCTCAGCTTCCTGAGTAGCTGGGACTACAGGCACTGCCACAATACTCGGCTATTTTTTTGTTGTTGTTGCAGTTTGGCCAGGCAGGGTTTGAATCCGCCACCCTTGGTACATGGGGCCGGCATCCTACTCACTGAGCCACAGGTGCTGCCTATGATCTCCTTTAGTCCTGACTAAATTTCAGAGCTTGACTTCTTGAAATCTAGAAGTTCCTACGTAGGGGTCAACAGAAACCCCAACAAGACAAGCAGAAACCATTCCTCTTGCTCCACAGCTGTAGTAAGGCAGCCGTCAAGTTGGGCTGGGAAATGGTCCTTGCAAATGTCATTTTTAAAAAATTGTGGTAAACTATATACAGCGTATGTCTAATTTAACTTTTTCTATTTTTGAGACAGAGTCTCACTTTGTGCCATGGCATCATAGCTCACAGCAACCTCAAACTCTTGGGCTTAAGTGATCCTCTTGCTTCAGCCTCCTGAGTAGCTGGGACTACACAGGAGCTGTGCTCACCACAACACCCAGCTATGTTTTTAGAGACAGGATCTCTCTCACTCTTGCTCGGGCTCGTCTTAAACTGCTGAGCTTAAGCAAGCCATCTGCCTCTGGCTGCTAGAGTACTGGGATTATAAGTGCAAGCCACCTTGCTCAGCCTAATTTAACTATTTTTATGAGTAGAATTAAGTGGCATTAATTCCATTCTTTGTTATGCAACCATCACCACTATTTCCAAAATGCTTTCATTACCTCAAACAGAAACTCTGCAACCATTAAACAATAACTCATCTCCATACCTCCCTGCCACTGATAACTTCTATTCTACTGTTTCCATGAATTTTCCTATTCAAAATGTTTCTTTTTTTTTTTTTTTTTTTTTTTGAGACGGAGCCTCAAGCTATCCCCCTGGGTAGAGTGCCGTGGCATCACACTCACAACAACCTCCAACTCCTGGGCTCAAGCGAGTCTCCTGCCTCAGCCTCCCAAGTAGCTGGGACCACAGGCGCCTGCCACAGCGCCCGGCCATTTTTGGGTTGCAGCCATCATTGTTGTTTGGCGGGTCCGGGCTGGGGATTTGAACCCGCCACCTTAGGTGTATGTGGCTGGCACCCTAGCCGCTTGAGCCACAGGCGCCGAGCCACAAAATGTTTCTTATAAGTAGAATTAAACATTTCCAAGGTTCATGCCTGTTGCCACATGGATCAGCTCCCCACCCCTTTCTATGGCTGAATGAATGCATGTTGCTGGCGTGCAGTGGTGCAGAGTCCTTTTTACTGTGAAATTGGTAGTAGTGTTTTCACTTTCATTTCAAATTTTAGTAATATGATTCTCTTCTTTTTTTCTCTTTTTGACCTTGGCTAAAGGTTTGTCGATTTTGTCGATCATTTTAAAGAACCCATTTTTGGTTTTCCTGACTTTATCGCTTTTCTATTCTGTCATTTATCTCTGCTACAATCTTTATCATTGCCTTCCGTTACCTTTTGGTTTAGTTTGCTCTTTTTCTAGTTCCTCAAGTTGTACAGCTGTTGATTTGAGATCTTTCTGCTTTTTGAACGTAAGTGTTGGCAGCTATAAATATCTGAGACTGCTTTTATTTATTTATTTTTGAGACAGAATCTCAAGCTGTCGCCCTGGGTAGAGTGCTCTGGCGTCACAGCTCACAGCAACCTCAAACTGTTGGGCTTCAGTGATCCTCTTGCCTCAGCCTCCCGAGTAGCTGGGACTACAGCCACCTGCTGCAAGGCCTGGCTATTTTTCAGTTATAGTTTTCATTGCTGTTTGGCAGGCTGGGGCTGGGTTCAAACCCTCCAGCTCTGGGTATGTGGGTGGTGCCCCAGCCGCTGAGCTACAAGCACGGAGCCCGAGGCTGCTTTTAGTCTCACTGTCCGCTGCTGCGTTTTGGTTTGCTGTGCTTCAGTTTTCATTTCTCAAGGTATCCTCTAATTTCCCCTGTGACTTCCTTTTTGATGCATTGAGAGTGTGTCAAGCACATTGAGTTCTTCTGCTGTTGATTTCTGGTTTCATTCCCTTATAGTTGGAGATACTTTGTATTTTAATCTGTTAAGATTTATTGAGACTTGGTTTATGGCCTAACACATGGTGTATGTATCCTGGAGAACGTTCTGTGTATGCTGCTGTGGCTGGTTTCAGTGTCCAAGTCCTCTACTTCCTTTTGGACCTTGTTTGGTTGTTCTATCCGTCCTTGGAAATGAGGTAGTAACATCTCTGTATAATTCTTCAATTATGTTGATGCTTGCTTTACATATTTTGAAGTTATTAGGCATGTCTGTGTTTAGTTGTATCTTCTTGATAAATTAAAATTTATGAATATATAGTATCTTGTTACCTCTTTGACTTAAAATCTATTTTGTCTGATAAACATTATTAAAACACATCATTTTCATGGAATAATTTTTTCCAACATTTTACTTTCAACTTTTCCCTATCTTTGTATTAAAAATGAGTCAGGCTGGAAACAGTGGCTCCTGCCTGTAATCCTAGCACTCTGGGAGGCCGAAGCAGGAGATCACTTGAGTGAGCTCAGGAGTTTGGGACCAGCCCAAGCAGAGCGAGATCTCGTTTATACTAAAAGTACAAAAACTAGCCGGGCATCCTGGCAGGTGGCTATAGTCCCAGCTACTTGGGAGGCTGAGGCAGGAGGCTGGCTTGAGCCCAGGAGATTAAGGTTGCTGTGAGCTATGATGCAACTGTACTCCGGCCTGGGCAAGAGAGTGAGATCGTCTCAAAAAAAAAAAAAAAAAAAAAAAAGGCTTAGTGCCTGTAGCACAGTGGTTATGGCACCAGCCACATACACGGAGGCTGACGGGGTCAAACCTGGCCTGGGCCAGCTAAACAACGACAACTGCAACAAAAAATAGCCAGGTATTGTGGTAGGTGCCTGTAGTCCCTGTTACTTGGGAGGCTGAGGCAAGAGAATTGCTTAAACCCAAGAGTTTGAGGTTGCTGTGAGCTGTGATGCCATGGCACTCAGGTTGACATACTGAGACTTTGTCTCAAAAAGAAAAAAAGACACCCAAGTATCAGATGATGTTGCTGTACCCTGTGAAAGCACCTTCACAAGAGTTCTGAGGGACTTCCTCAGTGCTTTAGCCAGTCTAATGGCACTGAAATGAACATGTGCCCTGTGGAAGGGGGACTTGTCTGCTTCCTCAGTGTGCCCGAGGATGGTGGCTAGCACTCACTCCCTTCTGCACTCCCGATTATCCTGCAAGATTCCTCACTTGAACATGGGATGTGAAAATCAAAGAACCACAATGACCCGGTTGTAGTAGAAACAGAATTTAATATAATATTCAAGTCTAGCATTTTCTATTTACAACAAATAAATATTGCCCCTCCCCAATCAGTAAACATTTTTTTCTTTTTTCATTTTATACAAATATTCAATCGCCCTCCTACCCCAACCCTCCTTCCCCAGTAACCCCCGTCTCGCGTGGTCTTGTAAAGCCCAGGATGCAGCGGGGATGGCACTTGCAGTGGCAGGAGATTCAACATCGAGGGGATTCAGCCGGAGCTGTCCTCACTCACTGGGTGAAGAGCGTGGTCCATGAAGAGGGCTGCTCTCTCCTCTCTGGGGGAGGGCTGGGGTGAGTGTGGGAGCAGCCCCTCACTCTCAGCTGGCCCTGATGATGGAATCTTTGGTGCAGCCTGAGAAAGGCTAGAGTGGTGGGAGGAGAGCCCGGGACCCAGCAGAGGTCACGGGCCAGTGCCCGAGGGCACAAGGAGAGAACTGCAGTGGTCAGACCCGGAGGGTAAGTGGGTGCTCTGGGGTGCCTGTGGCACAGGTGGCAGTGACCTGCACCTGGAAGGTGTCAGGGAAGTGTACAGAGGCAGTGCCCGGGGCAGGGATCATGGTACCAGGGCACTGGGCCAGTCGGCACCACTCCTTGGCAACAGTCAGCTAGTCCTCTGGTTCCAGAGAGCAGAAGGCACCTAAGGCAGAGAGGGGTCCACGGGAGGCCAGGTCAGCCTGATAGTGGCAGGCGTCAATCCCAGCAGCAGGTGGGGTTCAGGATGAAGGTGGAATCCAGGGGTGCCCTGGGCTGGCGGGTGGGCGGAAGGTGCCCAGCTGGCCTGGGCCGCTCTAGTCTATAAATTCTTAGCTCCCGGCCAGCCAGACCCCAGGGGAGATGCCCTCAGAAGATGCCCTTGGCAATCTTGAGTCCTTTCTGCTTCATGCGAGGGAGAGTTGAGCTGGCTCCATGCTTGACCTTTGCCCCTTTGGTGAAGGTCCGCTTCTTCAAGACAAAGTTATAGTTGGCAGCAGAGTTCATGGCGTAGAACACGTTGGCGTTTTCAGGGATCTTCAGCTCTGGTGAGGGAGGGGTAAGGGTGGTCAGTGCTGTCCCAGGGGACCCACAGGCCACTCCCACCACCTGAGAGCCCCTGTGAGGACAGATGCTGCTGAGGACCCGATAAGACCTGAGGACTCTTGTTTAAAAAGGACTCTGACTCCAGAGCTCTCCACTTGGTCTGAAGCTGGGTGTGGGTCATCCTACGCTGCCCACACTGCTGTCCAGCTGGAACAGGCTTTCTAGAGCCTAGACTGCCTCCCCTCAGTCCTGCCCTACTCAGGCCAGGCCTGCTGTGTTGGCTCCAACGCGGCCTGCACACCTCGTGGGGACTGGGCATCTGGCAAGCAGGTCCTCCTGGCACCTGCTTCCCACCAGCCTCCTCTGGCCTTGAGCCTGCTGGGCAGTGATGCTGGACTGTTGCTGTGCACTGTATGGCCCTCATTCCTTAACCTCTCTAGGCCTTAGTCCTCCTCTTCTGTAAGACAGGGTCCCATCTACTTTGTCCACCTAACCAAACTGGTATAGGACGCTGCAGGAGGACTTAAAATACAAATTCTAAGGAGGTAAGAGTCACTGCTAACTGTCTGGGCCAATGGCCGGGAGTGGTGTTCAGTCTGTTGGAAAGAATGGAGAGGACAACGCCCGCAGTTCAGTGAGTAGGGTGCTGGCCACATACACCCAGGCTGGCGGGTTCAAACCCAGCCGGGGCTAGCTAAATAGTAACAACCGCAGCAAAAAAATAGCTGGGTGTTGTGGCAGGTGCCTGTAGTCCCTGCTACTTGGGAGGCTGAGCCCAAGAATTTGAGGTTGCTGTGAGCTGTGACGCTACAGCACCTTACTGAGGGCAAGATAGTGAGACTCTGTCTCAAAAAAAAAATGCAGAGTGACGGCAATGTCATAGTTAACTGTTACGGTGTACATGTGTACCTTGTGCTTCTCTGTTACGTGTACAGGACTGAGCCACTGGCTAATTTATCTCCATCTTGGGGATGAGAAAACAGGCACAGAGGACATCTGAGCCTCCGAGCCTAGGACATCTGCTGAGCACGCCCTCCCTCCGGGATGCCTTCCTGTTCCCTGGGTCTAGAATACTGAGCTGGCTTCCTCGCAGGCTCTGCTTTGTTCTCAGCATCACACACTCATGGTTTTCACATTTGATGCTTCAGTCCACGGTGGTTGCAATTCTTTCCAAAGCACATTTTTGCTATCTTAGCCAGAAAAATGTACTTTCCCTTCTGCCATCTGGCCACCCGGCCCCAATGATGCCTTCTCTTTCTGCTCCTTACTGATGTTAGCTTGTGTGTGTGTGTGTGTGAGAGAGAGAGAGAGAGAGAGAGAGAGAGTGTCCATCTGTTGCCCAGGTTGGAGTGCAGTGATGCAAAGCTCTTGGGCTTACGTGATCCTACTGCCTCAGCCTCCCTTGTAGCTGAGGCTATAGGTATGCTCCATCGGCTATAGGTATGTATCATCACACCTGACTAATTTTTTTGCAGAGATAGGGTGTCACTATGGTGCCCAGGTTGGGCATGATGTTATCTTTGAACTGCTTGTTCATGCCCAGGGAAGGGCATACCCAGGGAGGTCCAGCAGTCACTGGGGCAGTGGGGTGACACCAGAGCCACTCAGGGCTTCTCTGTCACAGGGTCCACCTGCCCCTGCAGGTAGGCTTTCTGGGGCCAGGGCTGCAGAGTGTCGGTGACACCCCTCCCTGTCAGGTTCACCTGCCTGTCAGGTTCCCCAACTTACTCCGATCATCTGAAATAATCTGCACCAGCTCGTAGTCTTCTGGCTCATCCTCATCCAGGTTGTGTTTGTCCATGGCCTTGCGGATCACAGCTGGAGCCTTATCTTGGCTGGTCACCTGGATTGGGGCGGGAATAGGCCATCAGTGGTCAAGGACTCTCTGGAGATGCCCCGGCACTGAGCACAGAGCATCACAGCCTCTGGCTGGGTGCTGGGTCCAGGACCTCTTCGCCACCTTCCCATGCTCCCTGAGAGAGGCTTCTACAAAATGAGAAGGGGCCTCTCCCAAGGGGTTCCTACAAGAGCCTGCTGTCCCCTCCCACACCACCTTGGGAAGCCGCTCGCCCCCAGGGGCAGGGTAACAGCCCCAGTGAGCCTAGGGGACAGATAGGGACTGGTCTGTGTCGGGGTGGGGGGGGAGTGGCTGGGTGCCCCCTGGTGGTCAGTACAGATTGGACCCCTAGTTGCTTCAGCCTTGAGGATAAGAACACACATGGGACTTAGACCTGGGGTCAGAGGTGACAGGTTAATGACAATGATGCTAGCTTCTGGCAGTGTGAGGCTCAGAATAGGGTCTTGTGTGACAGGGCACCGGACCTAGTGAGTATGTGGGAGGGGTCACAAGTGGCTCACCTACAGTAGGAGACCTGGAGGATGGGGAGACCCCCACCCAACACCCACCCACACTATAATCCTCACTGGCTCCATCTCCAAATTCTGGGCAGATACCAGTCCTACTGGTCACCTCTAGGCTTCCAGCCTGCTGCAGACACTGCTCTTGGGGCTGGGATGGCTCCAGCAGCCTCCTAACCACCCTCTCTGCATCTCTGGCACCAGCTCGTCCCCCTCAGAGAAGCCACCTCTGATCTCCCCTGCAGTGGCTCCCGTCTCCCTCTGTGCGAAGGTCAAGGTCCTCACAGTGGCCACGCAGCCAGCCAGCCCAGGCCCCAGACTTGTCCCTGAACTCATCACCCTGCCACTCCTTCACCGCCTGGGCATGGGTACCACTACTCCCTCCCTCCCTGCTGACCGCCATCTCTTTCATTTCTGCATCTGGTGGCATTTGTCCTTCCCACCCACTGTAAGGTCAAGCTCAGCAGGGTGAGGATGGCGCGGTGCCCTCCTGCTTACCAGGATGCTCTTGTACATGTTGCCGTTGTCCACATCCAGGCTGACACGGATAATGCAGCAGTCGCCCACCTGCTGGTTGTAGAGTGGCAGTGAGGAGCCGTAGCCGCACACCCCAGAGACGGAGCGCTTGTGGGTGCGTGTGGTGGCCACGGGTGTGGTGGAGGCCGAAGAGGACGAGGTGCTGCTGGAGGCGGAGCTGATGCCTGAGGTCTCCGGGGACGACTGGGAGGTTGACTCCCAAAACTGTGGGGGACGGCGAGTCAACAGAGGCCTGGCCCCGCAGGGCCCCTGAGGCCAGCAGCCAGCTCAGGGGGCTCCTAGAAGCTGAGTTCAGGAGCCGAGGCTTCTTAGGTGGTGTTGTGTGGGGATTTGGCACTGGGCTGAGGAAGGGTGTCGGGAGGAAGGGTGGGCAGTCACCTTCTTTTCCTGGCCGTCAGGGGACTCTGGGACAAAGCTCATGTTGATCTCCTCCACGTCGGAGCTGGAGGAGCCGGCCGAGTGCACGCTGAGCGCATCGGCAAGGTCTCCGCTGCTGAGGTAGGGGCCACACCTGAGCTGGTCACAGGACTTGGAGTGGGAGCTGCCGCTGGTACTGAGCTCTGTGCTGGGCACCTGGCGGCTGGATGAAGGGCCTGCTTACTGGAGAGGCCTCTCCAAGGATACCCCACCTCTATGCTCTGTGCTCAATGCACTGTGACGAATGCTTGCTTGGTCCCAAGACCTTCTTTGCTCCAAACAAGAGATAACTCAGTATCACCCCATTTCACAGTGATAAGGGAGAAACCAAGGCCCTGAGAGGTGAGGGATGCACCCCCCTTACAAGGCTGGTCAGCAGTGGAGTGGGACCCCAGGGCCAGCCTGCCTAACCCACTGAACCTGTGATTAGCCCTGCAGCTTCTGAGCTCAAGGCAGTTGCCCACCCACCCCAGCCAGGGGCTTACTCGCTCCACCGTTTGACAATGGCCGCATTCTTCTTGGTCTTAAGGGTATTGCTGGCTGACTCGGACGGGGGCTCTAGCTCACACGACAGGTTGTAGCTGCAGGCAGAGGGCAGCTGTGTCTACCAGGAGCCATGCTCTGCTCCTCCCAGCACCTGCCCAGAAGCCGGTGTCTGGGTGCCCCGGCTGACCATGCATGGCTGCAAGCTCTTTGGAGCTGCCCGCCCCAATCCCTGCCATCCCAGTCCCTGCCGCCGCCCCACCTCTCAGCCTCGCTCAGCCGCGCCACAGCCCGGAACCAGGCCCGGAAGTGCTCATCAGGTGTGATGCTGTAGTTGTTGCAGGCTGACTGCAGCAGCTTGATCTGGGCGATCACTTCAAACTCCTGGGACCAGAGAGGACAGGATGGTGACAGGGCCAGGACAGGGTGCCGGGCAGGGCAGGGCCGGTCTCGGGATCTGTACTCAGGCAGCACTGGGATCCCCATTCCTCTCATCGGGGCCTTCTTAGAGCTGGGTTCCAACAGTCACTCCCCGGGAAGAGTCCTAGATGCCAACCTCCTAAGCTTGCCTTCCCCTTCTCTCTGTATCCTAACGGCCCCATAAACCTAAGAGGGAGGGATGGAGCTGAGCGCCCTGCCCAGGTGGGTCTGACTCCCACCCATACCCACAGCGAGGGCTAGAGAGCTGCTTACCTTCCTCCTCTTCTCGAAGTTGATCAGTCTCCCCTGGAAGGTAGACAGCCAGCACCCATCAGAAAGCGGCCCTGACTTTCCCCCTTTCCCCTTCTCACTGCACTACGAGGAGCGCTGCCGGGGGCAGGGTGCATGCACTCCTGGGCCTAGGGTAGGACCTGGGCCAGAGGGTCAGGGACCTTGTGGCCAAACCCTCTCTGAAGATGGAGAGACTGAGGCTTCAGGCAGGAAGGCCCTATTTCCTCCGCTGCCTGAGCACCCTCCTGCTCATGGCCTGGGGCTGTGTCCCACTAGCCAAACCCTCTTGCTCTCTGCTCAGGCAGCTCTGGGCGTCACCAGCACATGGGGTTCAGTAAGTACTTCCTACCCCCGGCCCCTAGGCTCACTCACATACAGATAGTCCTTCATGGCAGTGTCCAGCATCACCAGGTCAGTGAGGAATGTGCCCAGGTAGGGAACAGTGCCCTGGATGACACCCTGTAGAACAGTGGGGAAAGACACCTGAGTTCCAAGCCCCCTCCCTTGGAAGCTTCCCAGCCTCAGACCACAGCCCCCACCCCTCCATCAGAGCAGCCTAGGGACCTTCACCCTGGTCCCTGAGGCCCCATCTGGCCTCCATGGTTCCCCGACTCCCACAAGCTGCTTCCCAGTCTGGCTCTGGGATGAAGGGCCTGCTACACCCTGAGCCAGCTTATCAGGGCCCTGCCTGGGGGTTGCCATTGGTGCCCTAGGACACAGCGTAGTCAGGGCAATCCTGCCAGGGGTGGAGGCCTCATGGGGTATGCCAAGCATGGTGGCAGGGAGGAAAGGGCTAGGGGTCTCTTCCCTTGACTCCCAGGCCAGACTTTGCCCCTCCCTGGCCTCAGGCACACTCACCGTCTCCTTTGGCCGCTTCTGGGCTCTCTTAGGGTTCATCTCCAGGGTGGCAAACTTGGAGGTCCCCTCCTGCCAGGGTGAGGATGGGGTCAGTGAAGCCTTCCTCCCCTCAGCCCTCACGCCTGCACACCCTGACCTCAGGTCCATCAGCGCCTGCCTCACCAGGGCTCTGTTCTGGGGGTCTCATTAGGGCTGTAGCTCTGCCCTCACCCCTGTGCAGCAGAGTGCTGTACAAAGCGCAGGCACCTTCCTTTTCTCCCTTGAACCTTATCCCTTCTGCCAGGTCAGCACCCAGGGTCATCTGTCCTCCATTTGTCAGATGAGAAAACTGAGGCCCAGAGAGGGCAGAGACTTGTCTAGGGTCCCATGGGGTATCAAAGGGGTTGGGGGTCCTCCCTCCTGGCCAGAGACCCTGCCCCAGCTACCCCCATTCCCTACCCCTATTGGCCACTGACCAGGGTCTGGTGCTCTGGCCTCTCAATTTGTGCCAGGGCCCTGGCCAGGCTGAGCCATGGAGTGAGAGTGACCAGCAGCCTCCGCAGCCCAAAATGGGCTCATGGCCAAGCTGCAGGACTCCTAGCCCCACTTAGCCCCTGAGCTGCACTCCTGCAGGGAGCTGTATTTTTCCACACTGGAGGGGCAGTGGGTGGTATCCCTTTGCTCCCTCTTTCATGTGGAAGCTTCTGAGGTCAGGTCACCATGAATTCATTAGTGCCTGATATTTCCCTCAAGCTACCTGAGACATCTGTAGTGGTGAAGGAGGCACCATGGTGAGGGCCCTACAGGGTCCTCTGTGCCTGGTCAGCGTCTGCTCTACGGGCAGGGGAGGCATCGAGTGTCCCCACACCTATCTCCCAGGCCCAGCCCTTCCCCTTGGGTGTACAGTGTGGACAGAGCAGCCCCTGGAGCCTGACTTCCCAGGGACAGGCTGTGGGGGGTGGGGAGGGAAGATGGGTCCCCTTCTAGCCATCCCACAGGCTGGATGGTGCTGACATCCCAGCAGGAAGGGAACCGGGTCCCACTGGCCCTCCAGCTCACCTGCCTCTCCTGGAACTCTGGCCACCCAACAGTGCCCCCCTCCGGCCCATGGCCCAAACAGACACCCCCTCCTCTTTGTCCAGATAAGGAAGGCCTGGAACCTTTCAGAGAAACCCACAGTGAGACACTCAACGCTGCCCGCCCAGCTTCTACCCGTCCCCTGCCCACCTTAATGAGCAGCTCTCTGCTCAGTGAGTAGTTGTTGTCATCTGAGAAAATCTCTGACAGCTTCTGAAATATCCGGAAGCTGTCCCTGCGGGAAGGGCAAAGGAGAAAGTTGGGAATGGGGGAGGGGTGTGAGTGCTAAGAACACAAAGACCCAAAACAGGCCTGGATGATTGGCTTTCAAACAGGTTCCATGGGTGAGGGAGAGGCCTTCACGTTCACGTAACAGGGCCCCATTCCCATCCCTACTGAGAGGCTCTTTTTCCCCAGCGTTGATTATAACTGGGCAAAGAGTTCTGCAGCTATTGACATACCAGAAAATCTATGGTGTGGCTCAAGCCAGGGTCTAACACATGAGGCAGAATAGGCCCCGGAGGGTCCTTGCACTTGGGGCTGGTGGTCTCCCACCAGCCTCAAGCCCACTGAGGGGCGATGCCAGTGGTGGGAGGCCCCTGGGCTGTCTGGAGCCCTGTGGTGAGAGCTGTGCCCACCTGGAAACCTCCTCCCACGTCTTCTTCAGTCGGTGGATGGAGTTGCTCTGCAGAGCAGAGAGGATGGCATAGAGGGAGGAGAAGTTCTTGAGGACCCGGCACTCCTGGCAGGGGAAGAGAAGCAGCTGTAGCCTCCCTTGGCTACTCTCCCCCCTCCAGGTCAGACGGACCCCCTGGAAGCCCCGCCCACCACAGGGCATGCCTGGGACCCAGGAGGTTGTAGAGGGGACGGTTTTATCTCAACCCAAGGGAAGAACATGAAGAGGATGTGGCTTCCAGATGGTGGGAGATAAGAGTCAAGGCCAGTGTGGCCCTGGGAAGGAGGAGCCTTGGACTATAGACACATCCCAAGGGCAGACACGGGGTTGCTGGGTCCCTCCTGCAGCATACCCTGGCCACCTCAATCCAGTGTTCCACCACCCTGGCCCTGTCTGAGGCCTTCATACTTCGGTCCCCGAGGCAGGTGGTAATGACGCAGTTGGCTACATTGTTGAACTGGGTGACAGTGGCACGGATGGTGGGTGCCAGGTGCTCTTTGCCCTTCTTATCCCGCTGGGACCAGATGGAGCCAAGGCAATGGTAGGGCACCACCTTCTTGAACAGCTCCTAGGGAGGAGGGTAAGTGTCACTGGCCCTGCTGCAGTGGGCTGGGTGGTACTCAGGAAGTTGAGGACATGGCTTGAACCCTGTGGGGGTCTCCGGGGTGTGCCCCCTGTCCATGAAGGGTGCCCAGCACATGAGTGACCTAGGACAAAATGCTGGTGGGAATGAGAGGTGGCATTCCCCTGCCTATCCTCACCAAGCCCCAACACTGAGAGGTGACTGACATCTGCATGTAGCAGGTGGCACCTCCTGCCCTGCCCTGCGTCTCAGGCCTGTGTCCCCATCCAGATGCACATTTGCTGCATGTGCAATGACTAGGACCTCTGCCTGGTGTCTGCCATGGGCTCCAGTACACACCTGAGCCTAGTGAGTGCTGAGGCTGGTGAGGCCTCCTGAGCACATGGGGCTGACCCTGGGGCCTGGGTGCCTCAGTAAGCCCCTGCCACCCCCCACCAGACAGGCTGCCAAGTTTCCTGTCTGTTCTCTGTGAATCTCCACAGTCGTGCTGTGGAGGACAGAGAGGAGCTGGGGCTTCATGGTCACTGGTTTGTAGTGCTGGAGCTGGGATTTGAAGCAGAATTCTGGTTTAAGACCAGGGAATGGCAAGTGTGGGCAGCACACCAAAGGAAGGCCCACCCTGCCCTGCCCTGCTGAGCTGCTCACCGCGTCCATCAGTGTAAACTGCTCGGCCACCAGGTCAGGAGGGAACACCAAGAGGCGAGGCTTCTCCTCATTCAGCCCGTTCTCTGTGACCACAGGTGGAGGCCAGGCAGGCTCTAATGACGGTGCTGGCACTGGATCTGGCTCAAGGGTCTGTGATAGAGCTGGCTCCAGCTCTGGGGCGGGCATGAGAGCTGACACCAGAACTGGCTCTAGCTCGAGAGGGGGTGCCAGAGCTTCCTCCAGCTCTGGGGCTGGCTCTGGTTCCGGACTGTGTGCTACAGCTGGCGTCGGAGCTGGCTCCAGCTCCAGGGCTGGTTTTAGAGCTGGCACTGATGACAGAGCTGCCAGAGGAGGAAAGTTCATCAACACGGAAGCCTTTCCTAAAGACACAGAGCACACCCCATCTGCACAGAGCCCACACCGGGACACCTTCCCTGCTGTGGCCCAGGTCCAAGTAGGCCGAGGCTCCTCTGTGCTAGCCTAGCTAGGGCCCCTGGAGCCTTGTCCCTGCGTGGCCAGCACCAAACCCTTGTCACGTGCTCTTAGGCCCCTGCCCTGTCTTCCTTACCCTCAGTTTCTGCCTCAAGGGGCTCTGCATGCTCCAGCTGGGCCAGAAGGAGGTGAGCACGGCGCTCCAGGTCTGAGCCGGGCATGTTGAGCTGTACATAGGCCACTAGCTGCTTGAGGCAAGGAAAGTCTGGGGGCTGAAAGAAGTCCTCCGAGTACTGGTCCAGCCAGGTGCCCAGGATGGAGGAGATGGCACTGGGGGCAGGTAGGCAGTAGCAGTGTCAGAGGCCTGGCCTCCCCTCCCCCAGACCACCCACAGCTCCCAAGCAGGGTCGCTCCATATAAAGGCCACCACCACCCCAGCCCAAGCCCTCTTGGCTGTTCTTAGAGGGGCTGCAAAGAGTCTCCAGCAGAGGGAGCCATCACTCAGTGGTGTGACCACATCTTCCCTCCCAGAAGGCTACATACTCCTCTTCCGGTCTCCCGGGTCCCTCCCCACTGGAATATAAACTCCGTGAGGGACCTGCCCTCCTGCAGGTCCCTGGGGGCATTTCAACCTGCAGCCATCTTCTGTAAGCTATGCCTAGGTCATCTTTCCAAAGGGTGGAATGTGGCCTGCCCCCAAGACTGAGTCCCTTCAAGCACCGCTGGACAGGTGTGCCTGGAGCTGGGGCACATGGGCAGATCAGCAGTGATGGGACCATAGTGCCTGCGGTCTAAGCCTTCGGACAGGTGTGCCTGGAGCTGGGGCACGTGGGCCAGCCCAGCAGTGATGGGACCATGGTGCCTGCAGTCTAAGCCTTCCCTCTCTCCCTAGGGCACAGAGGCCCTGCCCCAATCCCATTGTTTTCTTTCCTCCTGTTGGTAAAGCCCCAGACAGCCTTTTAGCAGGAACTACAAGACTTGTGGGAATCAGAGTTCTCGGCCCAGCCCAGCCCCACATGCCCACAACATGGAGACAGGAGCCTCCCTCCTGACCAGAGGCCCACTCACTTTTTAAGTTGGTCCTGGGGTCCACCGTCCTCGTGGGAGTAAGGGAGGATGCATCCGTATCTAGAGGGGGCCGTGAGGGCGTCACGTCTACCGTACCTGCTCATGATGCCTGGTGTTACTGTCTGACTCTCGAAGGAGAGTGGAAGCCCAGGAGGGCTGCAGTGTTTGCTTTTTTCAACAAATTGTGCTAAGGGTATAGGAAAGCGCCACACACGGTAGGCACTTCATAGGTGTTTGTTGAATAATGAGCCCACCCAACTCCTTCCCAGATGTCACGGCTTCCAGGCCCTCTAGACAGCAGTACTCTGCCACACATGAGGCTAGACTAGAGGCAGACAGTGTCTTCAAGGGGGAGGGTTAGCCACACGAGCTCCCAGCCCCAGGCAGCCCCCTCCCCAGGGCCAGGTGCAGGAAAACACTTTCCAGGGCTCACCCCACCCAGCCCTTATAGCTGTGCTGACAGGCTCTCTCAGCACCCACTCCTAACATGGACAAACTGAGGGTCAGGGAGGGGACCTGGTACTCCCAAGACCCACAGCCAGGGGGTGACACAGTCTCCAGGGTACTGTGCAGGAGTGGATGCTCACCTTTTGAACAGCAGGTCCAGCACCTGCTGGGTGGTGGTGAAAGCTCTGTAGGTGCACAGGAAGATGGTGACATAGGAGAGGTCACTGCCCTGGAAGGCGGGCACCAGGTGCTCCACAAGCTTCTCCAGTGTGCCTGCCTTCACAGTCCGCACCTTGCAGGTCTCGTAGAGGTTGAGGGCCGCCTCGTTCTCATACTGGGTGGGACAGAATGGGGACATACAGTTGGTGACAGCATCACAGATCTCTAGCAGGGTTTGAGGCCGGAGCTCAGAACGAACCCCCAACCTCTGACTGGCTTGTGACAAGAGGCAAGACATGAGTGTCTCTAGTGGGAAAAGCTTCTCTGCTTTAAAAGGAGAATTTGGGGCAGCAGCTGTGGTTCAGTGGATAGGGCACCAGCCCCATATACCGAGGGTGGCAGGTTCAAACCCGGCCCTGGGCAAACTGCAACAACAACAAATAGCCGGGCATTGTGGCAGGCACCTGTAGTCCCAGCTACTCGGGAGGCTAAGGCAAGAGAATAACCTAAGCCCAGGAGTTAGAGGTTACTGTGAGCCGTGACACCACCGCACTCTACAGAGGGCCACAAAGTGAGACTCTGTCTCTACAAAAAAACAAATAAATAAATAAAAGTAGAATTTGAAGTGCAGCAATGATTCAGGTCAGTGTGTTGGCTGAGGAATGAACGCTGCCCTGTATCCACAGCATTACCTGAGTGAGTCCCCAAACATCCCTATTCTAGGGATGAGGAAACAAGAACCTCATCTGTGAAGGTGGGAGGCACAGGCTGTCCCCACAGCACTGCTGGAATGGCCTCAGAAAGGATAGCAACAGGGCCCAGGGCAGTGAAGGGCTGAACTAAAGTGGTAGCTGGCCTCCCTGCAGGAGGATCAGTATCTAAGTCAGTCCTGGGAAGGTGTTTTGTGAGACAGACAGCAAGTTGCAGAGAAGAGCATGTTAGAGCCTGGGTCCCCCCCTTTTTTGGATAAAGACAGCCCTACTAGGCGACATGATAAATAAGGCTGAGAGAATGCGCAGGGACAGGCAGGCTGATGGCTGCATGTACACCTGGGACAGGACTTAAAAACAAAACCCACAGCAGACCATGAAACATACACGGCCCGCCATGGAGTGAGACTGTGGGAAAGTCTTTTCTGACACTCATGCACATGAAGAAACAGCGTCTTTGCAGCTGGCCAGGCCTGGCCTGGGCCATGGAGGTCAGGAATGAGGGCCCAGATCCTTCGGGAAAGCACTGTGAGCCCTAGGAAGAGCCCGGTGAAGTTGCCAGGACGGTGCTGGGGTGCCTGGCCTGTGGGAGCCCTGAGTTGCACTTACCCCGAGCCAGCGCTGGCCCTTGCTGGCTCCGTGGTGCAGCTGTACCCGGCGCAGGGAGATGGAGTAGACGACCCCGTTGATCAGCTCCTCGCCAATCTCCTGCGTGGAGCTCTGCAAAGACAGTGCCCAGCGGCCGGGTGGTTCATCAGGGGGCCTGCTACAGGGGGACACCCCTGGGCAACCTTCTGTTGTCTGGGTGAGGCATGGATGGGTGCCTGTATAGACCTCCAGCCTGGAGTAGAAGCAGACAGCAGCTAGAAGGCTTGGGCTTAACCTCAGGGAAGAAGGCTGCTGTCCCAGAACTGCCTTCCTCACCCAGCCAGCTGCCACCCTGGGGTGTTAATATGAATGCCCCACCCACCCCGGCTTCCAGGACCCCACTGACTTTCCTGCACAGGATGGCCTGCTTCTCAAGCCTCCCCTCCCAAGATGGATATTGTTATTCAGCCATTTCACAGATGGGTAAGTGGAGGCCCAACATCGCACTGCCCTCAGGTGATGGTTAGGAGTATGGCCAGGACCCTGAGGCTCTGGCAAAGTCAACTACATCTGGATGGCTACCCCTGCGAGAAGGCATTTCCTCTGGGGCCTAAGACCCAGGGCTGTGCTCATACTCAACCCCACTCTGCCCAGCCCTGGAGTCAGCATCACGGGTCTGGGGCATCCCTGACAGCCACATCAGAGGCCACTTCCTTCCCTTTCTGCTCATTCATGCCTCATGCCTGCTTGGGCAACAGAGGAGTTCCCAGTTCCCTGTCCATTGTCACATGAGGGAAGTGTGTGAATGGTGACAGTGCCAGTGTCCAGGCAGACGCTGGGTTCCACAGAACCCCAAGCCCACGGGGCCTTGTCTAGGACAGGAAGGGGTCATGTGGCTGCTATCCAGAGCCCTGAGCACAAAGAAAAGGTCCTTGTTTTAGGAGACAAGGACGGCCACGGCCAGGCAGGCTGGCCAGGGAGCTGCCAAAACCAAGGCCACTTAGCTGCAGCTGCCTAGGCCTCACAGCTCCCTTTCCCACCTGCCCTGCCAAGGGGAGGGGTGAGCATGCAGTGCTTAGGGGAGTCTGGGGGTAAAGATATAATCTACGAGGCTTTAGGGAGGCACAGGATCCCATCACCTGGGTAGTCAGTGCCCCAGACTGGCTATGCCTAGAGCTCAGGGAAAGTGCTAACTCAGACCTTTCCCTAAAACCTGGGCAGCAGCCAAGTGCTCAGCATGTGTGGGCTCCAGCTACCCTAAGGGGGATTCTAGGAGATCTTGGAGCCTTCCTCTGGAAGTCTACTTCCCCTGACCCGAGGTCGCCCTCCTACTCTGGGCTTTATACTAATAGGCCACGGACATCACCCTGGGCTCCCGGCCTGCTGCCTCCCTGCAGGGAGAACCAGCCCTATTCCTTGGAAGTTAGCAGGGTACCTGCAGGCACACCCACTTCCCTGGACAGTCCTGCCCTGGAGGTCAAGCCCTTCTACTGACAGAAAACTGAGACAGATGCTCACTCTCCTGCTTCACCCCTCTCCCCCATGCCTAGAAAATTGTCCCCGTGGCTTCAGAGGCCACAGTGACCAGGACTCCTAACCACCCTGGTTTCCTCAGGGGTCTGAGACTCCTTCCTACAAAGGCCAGTAGTTCAGGCTCAGCACCCATAGCACAGTGGTTACGGTGCCAGCCACATACATGGAGGCTGATGGGTTCGAATCTGGCCCGGACCAGCTACACAATGACAACTGCAACAACAACAAAATAGCTGGGCATTGTGGCGGGTGCCTGTAGTCCCAGCTACTTGGGATGCTAAGGCAAGAGAATCGATGGAGCCTAAGAGTTCGAGGTTGCTGTGAACTGTGATGCCACGGCACTCTACCAAGGGTGACATAGTGAGACTCTTATCTCAAAAAAAAAAAAGCCAGTAGTTCAGCTGCGAAGGGCCCTTCCCTCCCAATCTTGGGGAATTTAACCGTATCTGGACCAGCCAGGTGGCAGACAGTATTCTAAGCGCTCAAATCACCAGCAGCAGTTCCGAAGTCTCACACAGACCCCTCCTGCTACAGGACTGGACTTTAACCAGAAGGGTGGGCAGCTGAGCAAACGGCTCCCACCTGGGTTCCATCAGAGCTTGCTAGACAGTAATATTCCCCAGCCAGATCCATCTATAGGAGTGGCTAAGGTCAGATGGCCTTGGACACCGCTAAGCAGGTCCAAACGGCAGCTCACAACCCTGAGCCTCTGCTGGTGGCCCAGCAGCTGGCCTGGCCCTGTAGTATCATGTGATCCCTGTGCCCTGCCCCCACCCGGGGGCCCTAGGCTGCCAGCTGGGTGGTGGGGAGGGGTGCTGGCAGCACTCTACCAGCCACGCAGGCCTGGAGTGGCGGAATCACTACCCTGTCACACAGATAGGGGGATGCTCCAGCCTGTGGACGCTGACCCTGCTTTCTCTGGCTCCTTCCTAGCCTGGCAGCAGCAGGCATGATGCTGGATGTTAGGTGGTAGCTGAGCACAGGCACCATTTCATTTGTCTGCCCAGGGACTACAGAGACACATGCTCCACTGCTGGGGGCCCAGCAGTCAGCCCACAATCAGTCAGCCTCCCTTCCAGGGGCAGAGGAAGAAAGCAGCTAGAAGCCCTGGCATCTCCCCCTGGGATCCTCTGTGGCAGGAGGGGCAGGGCCTGGCCTCCTAGGCCACCCTCTGTTAGCACAGCAGACAGCCCACGTGGCAGCGCCAGGCCCCCCAGGGCTATGCAGACAGGGCTGGGAGCTGGTCTAGCAAACAGCTGATGTAGAGAAAACGGCTGCCCTGAGGGCAGGCGTCCAGGCGGCCACTCTGAGCAGACTGTTGGGAGAAAAGAATGCCACATGCTTGGCTGTGTCCTCAGGGGATGACACTCCTGTCCTCCCCCCAGCAGGCCTGCCCATGTCTCTGGGGCCATGGGGCCCAGTCCGCAGCTGTGCCTTGCAACTCTGGGGTCAGTGCACTAAGGATATACAGTATCCCTAGGGCCCCCACTCCTCATGTCCCTTGCACACAGCCTGGAGCCTTGAGGATGAGGCGGGGAAATGGCCTGGTGGCATCTGGTTAGGGTGTCACTTGATCAGCCTTCTCAGGGTGACAGGCCAGCAGGATGTCATGTCCCTGGCTGGCAGAGAGAAGAAGCTGCAGCCAAGCCCAGACATCCTCAAAGTAGAACGGGGGTCTCAGGTGCCAGTGCTAGCCCGGCCCCTCCCCAGAGGGCAGCCCACGCCAGCCCATGCCTGCCCACACCAGCAGCACCTCCTCCCTCCTCTTCACCCTTCTGGTCTGGCTCCTTGCACAGGCACATTTCCTCAGAAAGTATGACTAGGGGTCCCCAGCTCTGCAGTGGCTCTAGCTGCAGCCTGGCTCCTCCTCAGGAGCCCTGGCTGAGGGCTGAGGCAGAGGGAGGAGAGGCCCACGCTTGCACATGGAATACTCGATGTTTGTGTTCCCCTCTGCTGGGGCCTGCAGGGCACTCAGGTGGGAAGGGGTTGGCTCTCATGGCAGTCCTGTCATGTGCGTGAAATTACCCTTGAGGACCTCACTACACCCCTACTATCTGCTGTGCAGGTCCACTGAGTCACAAAGGTCACCCTGGCGCCCTTGGTGGCCACCTGCTGGCACCCTGCAGCTCCAGACACATGAAGGCCATCTCCAGGGCCCACCAGACCGTGGTGCACTGACTCCCACGAAGGGGGCAGGTTCTCAGCTCTGCTGAGCCCCTTGGCCTCAGTGAGCTTGTCTGTGTGCTGGGAAGATGGCAGCAGGCCTCCAGCAGGCAATGGTGGGGTCAGGCGAGAACACATGCGCTCAGCGACTGGCCCTGGGACTCAAGGGCGGTGTTGTGGGCCAGCACCTGACACATGCTGGCCTCAGGAGCTGGTGGTTGACACTGTCAGGAAGAGCCTCCAGGGAACCTCTGAGACCTGCCTGAGGCTTGCTGACCTGGAGGGCCACATTAAAGACAGGGTGGGTCACCCTAAAATCCGACAGGTGGTAGAGGTTTTCTAACTTTTTAGCTTTTTGCTTTAATGCAAAAGCTAAGACATGAATCAGAACAGAGAGGGTTGCTTGCTCTGTGCAGAATTCTGGGCTCCCAAAACAGTGTGAGTACCAAGGTTGCTGTGTACCCTACCCATGTACAGAGGTGGTAACAGAATCCCAGGGAAGACGGCAGGGAGACAGTGTCCAGGCCAGGCAAGAGCCCACATCTTCTCAGTCCATGTCCTGGCTGAACTCTTGGAGACCCTCCTGCCCACAGCCTGCCCCCAACTCTAGTGGGTGTCTTGTACCCTGGTCCCAAGAGCATGGACAGGGCCCAATAAGGTCTGTCCTGGGTGCGGGTGGATCATGCTGCTGGTCCCCAGGCATTGCAGTCTAGAGGTGGTCTTGCGGGTCTACACAAAGTACCTGGTTGCCATGGCAACCAGAGAGCTCCATGACCCCAGGAAGTGGTGTCTGGGGACTTGCCATTCCTTCTCTCTAGAAACCTTCCCTGTCAGAGGAGCCTGCTACTGGGAAGGGAAAAACTGCCTCGAGTGGGGGAGGGGAACCAGGCCCTCCAGGGCAGTCACAAGCTTCATCCACTCCTGGCCTTCTGTCTGTTCACAATCAGTTCCTGTCAGGCAAGCAGGCCACCCATGAGCCAGGCCTGGGAGGGATATGCCTGCTGGTGGCTGAGGAAGAAGGTGGCCTGGTCCCAAGGGGGTACAGGGTAGGGCAGGCTGAAGGCCCAGACTCAGTGCTGACACCGATGGCCATAGTACGCAGCATGTCTGGCAGCTCCTAGGTGCAGGCCCTTCCCACACTCACTACATTTAATGCTTGCAGCACCGCCTGCTGGGTATGTAAACACCAGGAACTTGCCCAGGTAAGAAGCAAGAGAGGGATTTGAACCCTGGCCTGTCTGGACACACCCCAGGCCTGGCTGCGGCCTCTGCCATGGGCACAGCCCCAAAGCAGAGTCCAGCCCGCACACAGAGGAGGGGTCAGAGACAGAGGAAAGACTTCTGTTGGCCTGGAGCGTTCATTGGAGGGAGTGACTGAAAGACGCCATGCACCTTGGGGTCAGCTCTAAAGACCACACCTGGGAAGTCCAGTGCTGATGGAGCAATGCCCTAGGATCCCAGGGCACAGGCACTTAGAAGGCTCAGGTCACTCTGGTACCTAGTCAAAAGAATATTAATGGTGGCAGTTGCTCCCTGTCCAGTTCTGGCACTGTGTTGGGAACCGTGCAAACTGCTTCTGAGACCTCCTCTGAGGTCTAACTTGGTCCTCCCCAGATCCCACAGGAAGGAACCGGCAGCACCAGCACATCCACTCTACACATGATGAAACCAAGGCTCAGAGAGCAGGAGCTGGTCTAGCCAGGGCTGTATCCTAGGGCAGCTCTCTTCCCTCCAGCCCGAGCTGTTTGCCCTTTGGTTCAATGGATGATATAGCTCACATGGACAATACGGCTCTGGGTGTGACTGTGGCATGGGCTGGAAAAGCCTCAGTGAGGAGACAAAAACACCAAGAACCTTCCCAACACCATCTTCTCCATGCTCCCTTGCCCTGCTCACTACAACCCTTAGGCTGTCATCCCACTCCCTCCCTGGCCCAAGGGCAGCCCAGGTGTGCAGGTGGGGAACTGTGTCTGCACAGAATTCACTTCTCCTGCCCAAGGCTGCAGGTGGAACTTCTACCTCTCCAGCCGCTTTGCTGGAGCTATGTGTCTGGGAACACAGTGTTTCTGGGCCTCAAAGGCTGGAGGCCTAACCATAGGACAGGATGGTCACAGCACGGTGGTACCATGCTGTGGGAGCTGTCTGGGCAGCCAGCCAGCAGCTCCTGGGAGCTAGTCCTCAACTGCCTGGACACAGCCTCCTGAAACAATCCCCATAGCCTCCTTCAGAGCCACCCCCTGATGGCCCATGATATATTTCCCTGACACCCTCTTTTTTCCTAGTTTTGAGACAGAGTCTCACATTTTTCCCCTCGATAGAGTGCTGTTCTGTCATAGCTCACAGCAACCTCAAACTCTTGGGCTTAAGTGATTCTCTTGCCTAAGCCTCCCAAGCAGCTGGGACTACAGGTGCCCAGTACAACGCCTGGCTATTTTTTTAGAGACAGGGTCTCACTCTAGGTGAGGCTGGTCTTGAACTCCTGAGGCCAGGCATTATAGACATGAACACTATGAACCCTGAACACTGGGTTGAAGATGGGACCCCAGCCCTGCCTACGGGCAGTTTAAAATCTCCCAGGGCTGTCACCCACTCCTGCTCTAGAGCCATCCCTGAGCTTTCTGGGAAACAGACCAGCATACCCAAGTGTTCCCAACCTAGAAAAGGAATAAGAAGCTAGTACCAGCCAGCCTGGACCCTCCCTCCTCTCCTCCAAGGTCATTCAAGGAGTAAAACAGGAGGGGAACCCTAGGGTCTTGGGGGCTGCCTCCTCTGGAGTCAGCTGGGAAGCCCTCCTGGAAGTTTACAGCACTGGAACACAGGCACGAACTTCGGCTAAGCATAGCTATTGCCCACGCCAAGGCCATGCAGGGATAGGCCCCTTAGGCCGTGCCTCTGGGCCTCTGGTGTCAAAGGCACTAATAAGCCCTGGGAGTTAAACATAAGACCTACTACACACACTTTGAGAAAGAGACCAGAGTAGGCAGAAGGCTGGAGGGAGAGTCTCCCCTGTGAACAGAGAAGCCTTCTTCACCCACACACTGCCCTCAGGCCTCAGTATACTGGTGCCTCTGCCACTGAACAGCTTGTGCAATCTCATTAACCTCTAGTGCCTCAGTAGTTCCAATTGTCAAATGGCTATGAATATCTGACCTCAAAAGGACATAACGTGTCACATAATGAAGGGCCCCCCATAACATGCTGGCTCCTATTAGCTAGGTCCAGATGTGGCCTTGTTTCCTCTGGGAAGTTGTCTGCTATGTGCTAAGGCCCAAAGCACTTTCCCTTTCCTCTGGACTAGAAGCATCCCTACCACCCCATCTAACCACAGGGCTTCTAGGCTGCCTGGTGGGCCTCTCAGTGGACTCTCCCCTATCTTTCTCTGACCCCTGATGGCTCCTGCACACAGCGAGTACCCCACAGAGAACACAGCCCAGGTTCACATCCTGGATGTGACCTGTCTTAGCTGTGTGGGTTTTTAGGTCAGGAACTTTACCTCTCTGACCCTCAGTTTCCTAGAAGGCAGGGTTGGCACCAACTCTGTAGGCTGGTCTAAGCCAGTAGAATGAAGAAGTGCTGTCCACAGCCAGTATGTGCTGTGGACTAGAAAACTCCTCTGGCCTGGCTGAAGTAATGGCCTGTCTGGAGACCAGGTGACCTCCAGAAAGCACAGAACTGCACAGGCCAAGCTGGGTCAATGGTGGCTTGGCTTAGAATGGAGATGATGAGCAGAGGCCCAGATGTTCAAGGACATCTGGCAGCCCAGAGAGGGAAGGACTGGCTGGAGGCTTGGTAGGGAAATAGGGATGGGGGAGGAAGGCAGAAACTGCCTGGTGGTTTCCAGGACAGGGACCAGAAGTGGGCTGTTTCAGCTCTGGCACGCTTCAGCCACCAGGAAGTCAGCCCAGGATGGGGCAGGGGTGTGTGTGTGTGTGTGGAGGGGGTGCTGGCAGGAGGGACAGGGACTTCCCCGCCCCCTCCCACAGGTCCTTGGTAAATGGTCATTGTGTTTGGTTTCCGGCAGTGGCCTCCTCTCCTGCCAGGACCCTGGTTTTCCTGCCCTAGCCAGAAGCTTCCCTTTTGATTTCTAAATAGTGGCCATAAGCTGGATCTCAGAGCTCCTTCCCAGCCCTCTGGCAGGGCTGGACCTCAGCTCTGCCCCTCTCCCTGGGCTCCTCGGGATGCAGATGGACAGAGATTGGAGAGAAGCGCTGCACCCCAGCCAGGAACCTGCATCGTCCCTGTGAGCTCTCTGCTGGGACCCTCCCAGCACACAAAGCTCGAGTTGCTGCCAGGCATAATGAAAGCCAGATGAGTGCTGGGCTGGTGTCAGGCCTCCCCCACCCCAGCCCCAGGGATCCTTCTCCAGCTGCCGATGAGGAACAGAGCCCCGGGTGGAAGAGGGCTGGGGGGACACTCCTGGTCCAGCCACCTGCCTCACCCAGGAGGAAACGGTCTCGGGCCTGGGGTTCCCCCATCAAGAGCTGGGGAGAGAAACACTTTTTATGCAGGCCCTAACTAGGTACTGAGACTTGAAGAGGCACAAGAGGCTGACAATTACCACACCAGTAATTACAACAAACCACGGCCGAAAGTGCTGAAGGGGCTAGAGGTGCTCCAAGGGGACCCTGAACAGCACAGGAGGCCAGGAACCTTCACTGCTAAGGCTTTGGCCCAGCCAGGGGCCTGACATGCCTGGGCCTCTGACCAGGCCCACACCCAGCGAGCAGGGAGAGGGTCCATCTCAGGGTCCCACCACCTCCATTGCGTGGAGTCAGGCGCAGTCAGATGGAAGGCAGAAGGCACTACTCAGTGACTCACGGCCCCTGCCCAGAGCACACAAGAAACAAGAGACCAAGCATCCCCGAGTCATCCCTGCCTTCATCTGTGACAGATACACTGCTTCCCCCTCTGAATCCTCCCAAACCCCTACAGATTCAGGGTGTCAGCAATGTCTCTAATCAAGCAGAAACAAGTCACACAGTCTTGTAAAGCCCTGTCCCCTTACCATCTGGACAACTGGCCCCACTGCCCTGTACCACCACTCCCACCCTCTCCTGAGCAGCCGTGATGTCTCCCTGGTCATCGGACCATTCTGCTCCAAGGGAGGTGTGCTGGAAGGCCCCTGGAGTTCCAATCACCTCTGAGGACTCTAGGATTTTGTTACCCTAAAGCACTTGTCCACACCCACACTGTAAAGTCCAACAGTGCCATGCAGGCCCTAGGCTGGCAACGGAGATGGGACCCAGGCTCCGCAGGGCACAGAGGACCGCAGGGAACACCGCTGGGCCTGCGGGAAAGGGTCTACCGTGTGGTGGGCTCAGGGAGGCAGAAGCTGGGACAGAACAGAGGGGAGCAAAAAAAAAACCCAGCTGTGGTCCTTAAACTATCGTATTTTGGGGGGGGGGGATTCCGGCCCACTGTGCTGGTTTGGAGCTGGAGCAAGGAGGGGGATTTCTGCGGAAGGACCCCCGTCCGAAGTGAAGTGGCCTGCCAACAGAGCGGCCCCCATCCAGAGCCTCAAGCCCGCCTAGCTCTGTCCGGCGTCGGGCCCGGGTGAGCCACCCCCGCTCACCCACCTCCAGGCGCGGCAGGTCGGGGTCGAGTTGCGTGAAGCTGTGCAGCACCACCGGGCAGCTGTCGGGTGCGCCCACCTCCAGGCGCACGGCGTCCCACACGCTGCGGCTCCTCCGAGACCCTGGGAAGAGCGGCTCGGCGCCGCCCGCAGGCCCAGCAGCCTCGGCCCACATGCGCTGCACCATGGACGGCTCGTGGGGGCCGGCCGGGCCGCAGGACCCGGGGCGGCGCAG